ATCACACTGTAAGACGTAATAAGACTCACTCTGGCACAGACGTCCAGTCTGCACGCTGGAATACACGCTATTATGTCATGACCGTGACGCAGCTTCAAAAATTCGTTTCAAACAGGAAGTACGAATTTGCTTGAAATAACGCAATAACAACCAATTTACACTTTTTAGTGAAATATAGGTGTCCTAATAGCGTTTTTAGCAGTGTGGGACACATATACGACTGTCAACAGCTCAAAAAATGTGTTTTGGTGTTTCGTGACCCTTTAAGACTTTATAGTGAAACTTCTTACGTCAGCTTTGCCGGTTCCTGTCTAGTGATTATCATTGCAACCCTTCAGAAGCCCTATCAAGTCACAGTTTTCTTTTAGTCAATGGCGTGTCCGCAGTGGGACATCAAAGCGCTAAACATATTGAAGATTGCTGTCGATTAGGCCATTGGAATCATCACCAGAAGCGACGTGACCGTCTGGGAGGAAGATGGCGTTTTGGTCAAGTGGAAGCAGGTGGACTTAAGTGTGAAGCAGCTAGGCTTTTTGAGTGACTTTCGGTTCCCTGACCCTCATGCCAAAAACTGAACGTCAACGCTGCTTTGCCGAAACCCGGGATTGAACCAGGGACCTTTAGATCTTCAGTCTATCGCTCTCCCAACTGAGCTATTTCGGCTGTCTTGTCTCAACTGCTCTGCAGCATGGATGTCGGTGAGACCTAGCAGAGCTCTTGAATGCGTCTGAGGCACAGGAGGGTAAAAGTTTGGCCAGTACGGGTATCGAACCCGCGACCTTGGCGTTATTAGCACCACGCTCTAACCAGCTGAGCTAACCGGCCACTTTCTGCACACTAACATAGAAATCCAGGGCACTGCCAATGTGGAGTGATTTAGGGATAACTCGTCATTCGGCATGCAGGACTCCTCACACGTTCCCTGGAGCAGGACCGGGTAGGACCTTTTGAAAAAAGCATGCTATTCCAAGCAATTTGACGAATACATATCAAGCAGGGCAAAGGGGCCACCGCAGAGCAGATGTGGTCTTTTTTTTCTTTTTTGATTACGTCAAAAATAGCCAAATTTTTTTCCAGCGAGGGGAATTAGCTCAAATGGTAGAGCGCTCGCTTAGCATGCGAGAGGTAGCGGGATCGATGCCCGCATTCTCCACATGAATCTCCGCATCTGTTTTCATGCCTTTCACACTGGCTTTCATTGCATACCTGGTTGCACCTTAAAGGGCCATGAAACCCCCTCGTTTCAGCAGGGTGTTTTCACACCTCTACTTTGGAAAAAGTCAGAAAAGTGGGCGTGTCCAGCTCTGTTTAGGGGGGAGTGTCGGAGGAACTAAAGTGGGATGGTGTGGGAGTGTCTATTTGGGCACGCGCGAGTTTCAGTCAAAATACACTCACATGAGAAAGTGATGGTGTTTAACCTACATGGACATCTGTAGTCGAATTATTTGCCAAATTATTAAATGTTGGACTTTAACAGCAGTTTGGCTCTTTCAATCAGGGAATTAATTCATGCCCCTCGCGACAAACGCGATATTTGATTCGAGGATCTGCTCTAAGCGTGTATTTTTTCATGCAATGTTTGATACCGCACGGCGAATGAGAGAAAAAAAAACTCTGCATTTCCCGGAAACTTAGATGCTCTCGGCAGGTAGCGTCAGAAAGCCGCGTGTGTTATTCCGGTCACAAAATGCCGTGCTATGTTTGCACTCAGTGCAATAGTTAACTTAATTCGATACCAACAAACTGAATAAACAAAGAGCACTGGTCGCTCACTTACCAAATCTGTAGAGACAGGACAATCACCAGCAACTAGAGCCGCGTCTTTATGAAGAGGAGACTAACGTTACAAGCGAATCCGGATTTCAGCGTTTGCAGATGAGAACAGCTCTCAGGTAAACAATGTTCCTCCTTAGACACGTAAGTTATTGTTGTCGAGCGTCGCGTACACTGTTAATCCACACGTGAACCAGCTGAGCTCTCACAGAGAGAAAATGAAAACGAAACTTAATGGCAGCAAACTATAAAACAACACTTCACGCTTGTTTTGCCAACACAACGTGGCGTCTCTGTGGCGTTAACACGGTGACGCTAATGAATATTAATGAAGTTGCACAATAGAGCGCGCTGATTGGTTTGACCCAAGCCTTACTCATGCATTAATGCATCACACTGTAAGACGTAATAAGACTCACTCTGGCACAGACGTCCAGTCTGCACGCTGGAATACACGCTATTATGTCATGACCGTGACGCAGCTTCAAAAATTCGTTTCAAACAGGAAGTACGAATTTGCTTGAAATAACGCAATAACAACCAATTTACACTTTTTAGTGAAATATAGGTGTCCTAATAGTGTTTTTAGCAGTGTGGGACACATATACGACTGTCAACAGCTCAAAAAATGTGTTTTGGTGTTTCGTGACCCTTTAAGACTTTATAGTGAAACTTCTTACGTCAGCTTTGCCGGTTCCTGTCTAGTGATTATCATTGCAACCCTTCAGAAGCCCTATCAAGTCACAGTTTTCTTTTAGTCAATGGCGTGTCCGCAGTGGGACATCAAAGCGCTAAACATATTGAAGATTGCTGTCGATTAGGCCATTGGAATCATCACCAGAAGCGACGTGACCGTCTGGGAGGAAGATGGCGTTTTGGTCAAGTGGAAGCAGGTGGACTTAAGTGTGAAGCAGCTAGGCTTTTTGAGTGACTTTCGGTTCCCTGACCCTCATGCCAAAAACTGAACGTCAACGCTGCTTTGCCGAAACCCGGGATTGAACCAGGGACCTTTAGATCTTCAGTCTAACGCTCTCCCAACTGAGCTATTTCGGCTGTCTTGTCTCAACTGCTCTGCAGCATGGATGTCGGTGAGACCTAGCAGAGCTCTTGAATGCGTCTGAGGCACAGGAGGGTAAAAGTTTGGCCAGTACGGGTAACGAACCCGCGACCTTGGCGTTATTAGCACCACGCTCTAACCAGCTGAGCTAACCGGCCACTTTCTGCACACTAACATAGAAATCCAGGGCACTGCCAATGTGGAGTGATTTAGGGATAACTCGTCATTCGGCATGCAGGACTCCTCACACGTTCCCTGGAGCAGGACCGGGTAGGACCTTTTGAAAAAAGCATGCTATTCCAAGCAATTTGACGAATACATATCAAGCAGGGCAAAGGGGCCACCGCAGAGCAGATGTGGTCTTTTTTTTCTTTTTTGATTACGTCAAAAATAGCCAAATTTTTTAGCAAGGGGAATTGGCTCAAATGGTAGAGCGCTCGCTGCGCAAAGGAAGGGGCCCAATCTTCTCGCTCACTCGCAAGCGAACAAGTCGCAAAAAACGGAAAAATGCGACAAATTTCGCTTGCAGTAGTGTTCGCGGCTTTGTGACTGTGCATAATGTGGTATTTTGGTTGCATATTGCATGTCTTTCTACATGTCATTTTTTGCGTGCTGGATTCGAACACACGATCTGTGTAACACAATATCCAATCAGTGTAGGCTTCAGCGGAGCCAATCAGCTGCGCTCTTGTTGAAATTTTACTGACGTAACACAGGCAATTATATTGATATTACTATTATGTGGATATTGTTCTTAAAAAGCTTATTACGTTAATTAAAAACGAATGAAAATGTTTCAATTAAACATATTTATGCATGCTTATGTATATATAAGTATTTTATATATATATATATATATATATATATATATATATATATATATATATATATATATATAAATGTATTTTATATTTCTTTATGTAATAATAACTTTAAATGAATGCACACAAAAACAAGTAATATGCAAAATGGTTTATTAAAATGAATACAAATATATAAATTGTAAAACAATGTAAAAAAAACTAAATAAAAACATGTCTTAATATATAAACTATATATTATACAATAAATAAAAACAATACAATATATTATATATATATATATATATATATTTATTATGCACATATAATATTTTAAAACAATACTATATATAAATATATTTATTTATTACACACATTATATAAAAACAATACTATATATATATTTATTTTTATACACACAATATATTAAACAATAATATGAATAATAAAATGCAAGAGTGGGGGCACGTAATATATAAAATATAGTTTAAGCAATGTATAAAATGTTATTTTTTTAAGAAATATAAATATATTTTTACATAAAATGCACACAAATTTTAAATAAGTACACACAAGACAAAATAAGAGTGGGCCTATGTAATATAAAAGTCTATAAAGTCTATAAAGTGCTACTTTAAAAGGCTACATATTAACACACAAAAATTAAATAAAATGAGGGAAAGAGAGAGTACCCATGTAACATTTACAAAAATATATACAGCAATTTGTACTTTATTCTGGAGCTGGAGTTTGTCCTTTATTTTGCTGGCGCTGTTCTGCCAACCAGTCCTCTAAGGATTTGCCATTTGAAGTTTGCAGACAAAATGTGGCATTACCAAATCGGCTATGGCCAAACTTTTTAGTCTTGGGTTGCCCACATTTGCTGCAAACATTAAAAGTAACCGCACGCACATACTTCCTTTTGTGGACTCCACTTTCCTTCTCCTGTTCCCGTCTGCGCCTGTTCCTCTGGGTGTAACGGGACACAGGAACAGCAGGCGCAGGTGGAGCAGGTGCAGGTGGAGGAACAGCAGGTGCAGGTGGAGCAGGTGCAGGTGAAGGAACAGCAGGTGCAGGTGGAGGAACAGCAGGTGCAGGTGAAGCTGGGACTGCACTGGATGTTGGTGCAGCAAATGATGGAATCACCATTGACACACTCATGTCTGGGTTAAAAACAAGTGTGCCAAACAATGATCCAGGTCCTGAAATGGGCTTCACAACACCTGGTGCTGTGGGGGTGGTGCAATGGGGCACACCGTGCTGGGGGCCGGTGGAAAGGAGCACACCGTGGTGGGGGCAGACACAATGGGGCGCACTGTGGTGGGGGCCGGCGCAATAGGGCGCACTGTGGTGGAGGCTGGTATAATGGGTCACACTGTGGTGGAGGCTGGCGAGATGGGGCGCACTGTGGTGAAGGTCGGTGTGACGGGGCACACCATGGTAGGGGCCGGTGCAATGTGGCAGACTGTGGTGGGGGTTGGCGCGATGGAGCATACCGTCGTGGGGGCCGGTGGGAAGGAGCACACCGTGGTGGCATCTGGCAGGAAAGAGCAAACTGTGGTGGTTGCAGAAGCAGACTTTCGTCCAGGTCGAAGAAGAGGTGCCTGTCCTTCTTTATTTGGAGGAAAAACAAACTGGTGTTTGGGGCCTGATGTTGACGGTGCCTCGTCCAATTTTTCCCTCGGCAAAGGAAGCTGCGTATCTGCCACAGCAATTGGATTAAGTGGAGTCAGTCCCTGAGTGAGTACACTCATTTCCTGATCCTTTTGCCTCCGTTGAAACCTGATAATAAATGATATGTATTATTCATATATATTAATTTAGAAATATTCAGGTTATTTAAAGAAAATAATGTGCTTTGCTTACCACTGAATGAGCGTCTTCTGGTTTAGCTCAAAAAGCTGGATCACTGTTTCATCCATTAGCCTGCGACTGCCAAGCACCAGATCCCGGATGTGGTGGTAATCGGTCAGTATTTTAGACCACCTGGGGGTGCGAACACCAGCCTTCTTGGAAGTGGACTTGTGTACGGCACACAGCTTTGTACAAATGGCCTCAACCAAGCGGCTGGTGCTAGGCCACTGTGCTGGACCCCCAGGATGTCCAATCAGACAGCGCTTGACGCTCTCCACACCTGGAGTGACTCCGGAGCGCTTCGGTGCCTTAAAGCGCCCATGTGTCAGCTGAGGCTGATGTCGAGGCTGGTAGTTGATGCGCTGTTTATCAACATCCAGGAGAGCTGTCCACAGCTGGATGGCCTCTGTCACCTGCAGGTCAGTGAGGTAAGGAGCCTCACGAAGACCTACCAAATAAGCAGCCAGATCCTGGACCTTGTCCCACCCAGCAATGCCATCAGGTCCAATGACTACTCCCTGGTAAATACAGAATAAATTTAGTATATGTGGAATAAAAAAAAAGACTAAATCAAATTAAGTTCTTAATGTATCTTACCTGAGCCTCAACAGAGAGACTGTCTCCAGAGTCGGATGGCTGTGACGGCACTGAGAGGGCTGGGCTAGGAAGCTGTCCTTCTCCACCAGCTGATGTGGACGGCTCAGCCAGTGATGCTGGGGACTGAGGCAGAGGCGAAGATGAGGGGCTGTTTCTGAGATCATGGCAGGGGTCATCCTCATACAGCACTGGAACTGTGATGTCCTCCATGATCTCCTCCTCAAACCCCTCATCTTGTAGATCCTCGTCATCTACTTCCTCCACCAGCCTGTCTTCCTCCTCTGGGTTCTGGAGCACCGGAGTCAGGGTTTTGCCGGTCTGGCTGTAAAGGTACTCTAATCCCAGCAATTCACCTTAAAGAATAAAACATTTAAAAAAACATATATTAAATAAAACTAATAATAAAGTAAATATTAGGATAAACATTTTGTGAAGTACATTAAAGCTTAATAAATCACTTATATAACAACTAGTTAATGAATTTCTTGCCTGTATATGCTCCAGGAGGGTGATAACGGTTATCCCAGGGCTTCCCTAAGACTGCTCGGCTAAGCCTGTCCACAGCCTCTCTCATGGCACTGCCATATGACCGTATGGAGGATGCTCCTTTTATGGTGCTTTCCATCCGGTCATCATTCCAGCGCATCAAGCCCTCAAGGAGATAGGCCTGAAAATGCGCATCACTGGCACTGGTCCCTGGAAATTAAAATAGTTAAAAATATGTGAAGAATTAATTAACATGTTATTAGGTTATGTACTAACATTAAAATTATTGTCATTATAAACAGAGTTACTTGTCAGGCAAGACAGCTTTGTCAATGCTGATAACATCACAAATGTTATTTAAATGTCTAATAATGTTACATTAAAGCAATGGAAGTTATCACAGTGCTTATATGTTTTACAAAATAAAACAATCCAAATGTATGTAATACCTTGAATAAAACGGTTTAGGTGGAGGTGGAAGGACTCCAAAGATGTAGAGCTACGGGCACACCTGTAACAACACAGCTCCACTCCGCCTTTCTTCAGTGTCCCTGTCTTCATGTACAGTGGAAAGTTCTCTGGGTCTTGAATGCACTGTACATGCTTCTGCTGTTCCTTCCATATCTGCTGGATTCGTTCGTGGTCCAGCAGAGGAACACCCAGAGTGTCCTTCCCATGCTCGCTGTCAAAATGGTCCAACAGCTTTCCAATCAGACAGGTGGTCTCCTCCACACCTCTGGTCCTCCTACGGCAGTGCAGTGCTAGCTCCCTCCGGTTTATGCGAGCACAGAGCCGTTTGTGAAATGTGGCCAGTCTTTTTTGCCGCCAGCTCACCTTCCTTTGCCTGGCGAAGAGCGGCCACATCTTCTGGATCCCACTGAAAGATGCACGTGGACAGACGTGCCATGAAGATCCCGTAGAGCGGATGAGCTTCTGTCGTGACACCTGCAGCAAACCGGCGCATAAAATGCCAGATGTCAAGGCGCACTTCAAGCTCATCCCACTCCGGAAACATGATCTTCACCGGAGACTGGCCGTGCTGACTGCAGCAATCTCTGTCCACGTACATTACTTTCGGGGCTGCCTCTCCTGCCTCCCGGTAACGCTTCATCAGTCCGGCCGCCATTGGGTCCAGTCCATGACCCTCGGCAGCTGACAGCACAGAGACAAGGACTTGACCGTGTTCGTTCCCCACATCAGTGCACCAGGCAGCTGTTCCCGCAGCAGCACCTGCAAGTTTCTTTGTGATCTATTAGGAAAAATAAAACTGTGTTAAATATGTACGCACACATATCCATATCTGGCAAATGTCTGGATATAAACATACCTTTTTTGTGGAGTCCATCTTTAGAACACAGCCAAATACGGAGGTGATTTTGGCCTTGACCTCGTGCAGTCGCCCCAGAACATCCCTGGCATAGACGGCTAACAGCCACTTCGGTTTGGGTATGGCAGGTAAGAGGGGAGGCTCAGCAAACACAGGAGGTTGCACAAGGGAGGACCTTGTGAATGGTTCACAGGCAGTCAGGTACTGCAAGACTCGCTGTGTCCATGCCTCACTGTGTTGCTCCATCAGCTTTTTGAAAAGCTGAGTCACACTGTTGCCCAGTGTCCTCTCCCTCATCATCCTAACTACCCGGTTGTCACATGAGTATCTAAGGAAACAACATTATAATCAGGGAAATGCTTTGTTTGCTAAAAATTAACACAATTAAAATATTGGCATTATGAATTACCTGTATGTCAGCAAAGCTGGGAACTGACTACGGTGGCCAATATCCAGCTGTCCTAAGATGTCCTCGGACCAGGCAGGATACTTCTTTTTGCACCGCTTGCACTCCAGATACTCAGTGGCAAGGTCGTACCAGCCGTCGATGTCGAGGACCTTGCACACCGTGCGGTAAATTCCTGCAGCTGTTAGTCTGTGCTTACCACAGCTTAGGCGAACACAGACAAGTGGAAACAACCACATCTTCAGCGGCATCCACAGAAAAAGTGGTCGGCAGAAGAAGAGGTCAGGAGAGGCAGGTGGCTGCGTGTTAATTAGAGGGGGCTGGGGAGGATACCACCAAAGCTTCAGCTGGGACACTAGCTCTGGCTTGCCGGTTGTTAAGTTTGTTTTAAATACCGTGTTCCGGATCCACTCATGCTGGAAAGGGGGAAGCTGATCTTTCCAGTGAACAGGAAGCTCAACTGGTGGCTGATGATGTTGAAGATCTGGTGTTTTTGCTGTTTCCGCTGATGGAGACGGATTGGCACAGGCCTCTGAGTGAATAGTAACAAACAATTTATAGTTAACAATATTATGATGACTGTTGCTTTTGATAGTAAGGTGCCACAAATTATGCCCATGAACAGCCAGTGAAGCAATAGTTTTGGATAAGTATTATTATTAATATGGGTATACTTAGAAATACAAGTTAAGAGAATGGTACTGTTAGGAAGCAAAGAAATTAGTGTGCACTTTATTGATGAAAGGGATATGGAATTAACACAATTCTCTGCGAATGAGAATCATATGAAATGGAGTAAGTAAAATGAGGCATGATTAGTATAAATTATTGAAGCACAAAGACATGAAGCATGCACACAGATACAGTAAGGAAAAACTGCTCAGCTGATAATGACAGCAATGAATCACCACCATCTAAGAGAGTGAGTGAGAAGAGCAAGCGACGTGGAAAAGTTATCTGATGAATGTTCAATAATGATTAGTTCGGAAACGCAAATAAATACACTGAAACCTTTGAACATCCTTAAGGTTTTGAAGAAGTGCACTCAAAGAATGCATCCCGCTTGAGGCATGATGTGACAACTCTGTACTGTAGATAAAAATTTGATTCATTATTTTTTGTAAAAAAAAAATACTTAGTGTGTTTTCACAAAATATTTTATAACATTTTCATTTGTGTCGTGTGCCACACCTGCAAAGAGCTGTGCTTCACATTGTGATGCAGCAAACACCAGTTCTTCATCATCTTCAGCAGTGGATCTGGAAGTGCCTGGAGCATAAATCTTAAAAATATTACTGTGAAAAATACACACAGCCAAATGTACAATACGATGGTGCTTACTTACCAGTAGTAAAAAGCTGCCTTTGGGCCATACGTTTGGCTGGGGGTTCTGCTGTAGGAGGAGATACAGTGGACTGCAGTTTTGGATCTGGAAACAGAAAGTTTGACATAACAATAAATAAACACATATATAACTGCTGTTGGGATAATTCTGTATCATGCTCAGTATTCACTCTCCTACTTACAGGGTTTAACAGGTGACATCAGTTTTTTTGCCAGCTGTGAAGGAGACAAGTGCTTGCCCCTTGCCAACAGCGATTTCACAGTGGCAGTCTGCTGTACACCTGTTTGGATGGCTGCAGGTGGAGGAGCAGGGACACTGGATGCTGCAGGTGGAGGTGCAGAGACACTGGATGCTGCAGGTGGAGGTGCAGAGACACTGGATGCTGCAGGTGGAGGTGCAGAGGCAGCAGCAGAAGCCAGTCTTTTCAGGACATACAACTTGAAAAGTGCCATGTTGGTTTTTGGCCTGGCATCTGCCTTAACCAGGTACCTGATGAGGGCTTGGGCCTCCTTGCTCTGGTCCTCAAACACATCTTTCATGGACCGGCCCTTAAAGTCACCAAACTCTACCATCAAGCACCCTGTATCTCCTTTTGCCCTAGCTTCTGCTTGCATTTCCTGTTTCCTCTGGTACTTCTCTACTTCTTCTGCAATCTCCCTGATGGAGGTGTTTGTTTTCTGACAAGGGTGTTGTCTGCAGCTTCTCATCAGAAATGCTAAGCACCAGGTACACCGCATACCCCAGAGTATGCTCTAGGAGCCATCTAAATCTTTGGCCCTGGTACTTGCCAAAATGAATCTTGCAGTGAGCCAGAACTAAAAACTGGTCACTGGGGTCTCCACCATTGCTGCTGACAAAAGCAGTGGCCTCTGCCAGCACCTCTTCATTGGGTTTGGCCCTTCTAGACTCCCTGCTTACAAGGCGCTCTGTCTCTGCAGATGGCCCCAAGAGGAGTCTGCTTGATGTCGCTGATTGGCGGCGGAAAATCGGGTATGCGTACATTTTTCTGAAAAAAAAAAAAAAAACATTAGAGAGAACATTACCTAGAGCAATCAGAAAGATACATTTACATTAAGTGTGAAACAATAATTTAACAAGGTAGATATAATCCATATTATTGCAGTAGTAAATATGACCATGACCATAAAATGGACTTCTGGTGAATTTTCTACAGATATGCCTAAAATATGCATGGTAGTACAACTTGTAATCCATATAAATAAATGAGAAACAACAGAAATTAAAACAATAAGTTATAATATACACATTAAACTCTTAAGTCTTTACATTTGGGTACAAAATTGGGTACAAAAATTGTACTCTAAAAGGACCATTTTGGTACCTTTAGGATACAATTATATATTTTGTTTCCCTATAGGAACAAAATTGCACCCTGTTGTGACTGGAAGTGACACAAACAACTGAAGGTAGGATCCAAATGCACGTTTAATCGAAGGTCAGGCAAGCAATGGTCAAAACAGGTATGAACAGGTATGTGAGGGCAAATCCAGAGTCGTAATCGAGGTACAGGCAAAAGGTCGAAAGGCTGGCGGCTAAACAGGATAACTAGGATACTAAGCTAGATTCAGACACGGAGAAACACGTTGAAATGTCACTAAACAGTAAACAAGACTCGGCAAAGTGAATGAGTGTGTGTGCTGCTTAAATACTGTGTGAAATATCAGTCTGTGACAAGTTTCAGCTGGTGATGTAATCAGGAAGATGAATGACCAGGTGCGTGTTTGGAAGAAGTGCATGTATGAAAATGTAGTCCTGGGGAAGGCAGAAGTGAAGTTCATGATGATAGAGGAAACCAGCGATCTCCAGAGAATGATCGCTGGTTATCGTAACACACCCTCAGCTCATAAGATCAAGACACTACAAATTGGGGAGCCAAGATGGCAGCGGAGTGAATGGTCACGTTTTTTAGCGCTTAGGTACTACGAGGAGTTTTAAAGTTAACAAAATGGTTATTTTGCATGTAGAATCTTAAATTTTGAAAGTGTATGTGTTCCTGAATATTTTTAACGGACATTTTTAATTTCTGACGTGACAATGGGGAAAAAAAGAAAGAATCAGTCCCTTCAGGAAAGTGCTATATTGGCTGGATACCTCGTGGAAGAAGGGGACATGGAGTCTGCAAACTTGGAAAATATCGATCTTGAGACAGAAATTGGTGCCAATGAAGAGGTTTTTGCAAAGCCTATTTGTTCTACTCCATCCAAGAATCATACGAGATCAAAAGGTACGGATGAAATATCCTTATCTACACTCCTTGACGCGATTCAGAAGCTAACCGCTAAAATGGATGAAACGCACGACAAAGTGATTTCCATTGACAATACGGTCGCAGTCTCCTGTGAAAAACTAGATAAATTGTCTGAAAAAGTCTCCCACATGAGTGAAGAGATCAAGACGCATGGCGTTAAAATAGCTCTAATTGAGAAGGAGAATAAAGAATTGCGGGCAGAAAATCTACGTCTAAAAGAGAACTTTGACGAAATGCAGCGCTACTCCCGGCGATGGAATCTTAAGTTACAAGGGGTTCCAGAGCGCGACGGAGAAGACACGAGAAGTGTGACGATCAGCATCCTGAAACAGGTGGTCCCTGGCATACAAGACAAGATGGAAGATGTAATTGATGTTGCTCACCGCCTGGGGCTAAGGAGGTCTGACGGAGCACCTCGTAACATCGTGATGCGTTTTACTATGCGTACCTACAGGGACATTGTATGGCGAGCTGCAAAAGAGTCTCGCTATCTAGCGGAAAACAGAATTCGCATCAAGGAGGCGTTAATCAAACAGGATGTGGATGCTAGAGCCAAGTTATGGCCTTTAGTGAAGAAGGCTCGTGAGGAAGGCAAAAAGGTTTCGTGGAATGGCCCCTATGCTTTTGTTGCTGGAAAAAAACTTGAACTTATTCCCTAAAAACTTTACGGAGCATATGTTGCCGAACGTAATTTTTTAGTTATCTAAGCAATCTCCAATTGAAGAATAACTAACGGTATATCTGAGACTTTTCTTTTTCCCTATTGACTGTCATGACTATATTTTATATGTAATTTGTTCCTTCATAAGTAATTGCACTACTGGCTAAGGTTCATGTTAGCTTTATTCTCCTCTTTGCCGTTACTCGTTTACAGCGGTAAGTTCAAGAAGTGTGCATTGTTAATTTTGTTCTATTTGCATTCAACTTTATTCTAGTTTTCTCTTTTATCTCTGTTTCTAGTTATTATTATTATTTTTTTATATGAATGTTAAAAACTTTGAGTTTAACTCTTTGAGTATTGTTTCGTTAAATACCCGTGGCTTGAGAGATCTTACAAAAAGAAAGGCTTTATTTTTATATTGTAGGAAAATGAATGTTGACTTAATACTTTTACAAGAAACCCATTCTTGTGAGAATGATGTTCGTTTTTGGAAATCACAGTGGGGTGATAGGGCCTATTTTAGTCATGGGTCTAATCATTCAGCGGGTGTTATCACTCTCATCAATAAATTTAAAGGAGATATTGTTGAATCTCTAGCCTCTACAGAGGGTAGATGGGTTATTCTTGTCACTAAACTTGATAATGCAGTTTTTATAATAGTTAATATATATGGCCACAATTTAACTTCCGTCAATAAAGCATGTATTTCTTTACTACAGATAAAAATTGAAGCTTTAAAGAATAAATATCATCAGGCTTTTGTTATATTTGCTGGAGACTTTAATGAGGTTTTAGATAATTCATATGACCGATATCCCCCAAAAATGAGTCGCAGTAATGACATTATTTATACTCTGTGTGATTATCTTCAAATAACAGATGCTTGGCGACATTTTCATCCTGATGTGAAGGAATACACATGGAGTAATAATCTGCAAACTTATAAATCTAGAATAGATTTTTTCCTTGTTTCTCAACAGCTGTTACAATTTGTATTTGATGTAAGTCACCAGTATGCTCCATTTTCTGATCACTTAGCAATTAGACTAGTTCTGCAAACGAATCGTAAGGAGAATACCTTACGTGGTTACTGGAAATTGAATAATAATTTGTTAAACGATAAAATTTTTAATAGTCAGATTAAACATTTAGCTAATGAAATATTCTCAAATTGTGTGAGTAAGTCACATGCTGCTGATTGGGATTATTTTAAATTTAAAGCTAGAACTCTAGCTATAAACCGATCTAAAGCCTTAAGAGTGGTTAATGCCAGTAAGGAAGCTAATTTATTAAATAATATAAATGCCTTGATTAGAAAAGAAAATCTCTCTGTTCAAGAAATTACTCAGTTAAAATCCTGTCAATTAGAATTAGACCAGTTGTATATAGAAATTGTTAAAGGTGCCTTTGTTAGATCCAGAGCAAAGTGGATTGAGCAAGGAGAGAAAAATACAAGCTTCTTTTTCTCACTTGAGAAAAGAAATTTTAAAAGAAAGAGTATTTCTGCTCTACAAATAAATAATTCCTTATCAAAAAATCAGGAAGACATTGGAAATTTTATTTCAAATTTTTATAGAAACCTATATTCCCTTGACTCTCATGCAAGCCAAAACGGATCTTACCTACAACAAATAGAAAACTATATACCTCAGATAAGTAATGAGTTTAAAGTATTATGTGAAGCTCCAATTTCTTTAAATGAAATTAGGGATGCAATGAAATTAATGAAAAAAGGGAAGTCGCCTGGCTCTGATGGCCTAACATTAGAATTTTTTATACATTTTTGGGAATTTTTAGAGCAACCCTTTCTTTTAATGCTTCAAGAGTGTTTAGAGAATGAAACAATGACCCCTACTATGAAACAAGGTGTGATATCTCTCATTCCCAAACCAGACAAAGATCCAACTATTATTGACAATTGGCGTCCTATTACACTTCTAAATTTTGATTATAAATTACTTGCTTCCATATTTGCCAAAAGATTAAAACGACATTTACATTATATTATAAATGAAACGCAGACTGGATTTATAAAAGGGCGTCATATTAGTTGTAATACTCGACTTGTGCTGGATCTAATTGATTATAAAAATGAAATAGACTCTGATGCTATTATCCTATTCCTCGATTTTTACAAGGCTTTCGACACCGTAAAGCATGAATTCCTTTTAGACTCTTTGAAAGCCTTTGGATTCCCCTTAAAATTTCTTAATGTGGTACAAATGTTGTACAAAGATATTAATAGTTGTGTAATTCTAAATTCATGTACTTCACCAAGATTTCCTGTGCTTCGTGGTATACGACAGGGCTGTCCCTTGAGCCCATTCTTATTTTTATTTGTTGTAGAAACTCTATCTATAGATATTCTACACAATAATAATTTGGTTGGTATTAATATCTTTAACAGAGAGATTCGCATATCACAATTGGCAGATGACACTACACTATTTTTAAAGGATAAAGATCAAGTGTCTCCTGTTTTAACCATTATTAATGCATTCTCAGATGCTTCTGGACTCAAACTAAATTTATTAAAATGTGAAATTATTTGCTTGTATGACACCTTAGATGCAAAAATTGAAAATATACCGATCAAAGAGGAAGTAAAATACTTAGGAATTAATATAACAAAAAATCT